ACTTCAGATCATAAGCTAGTAATAGCTACGGTTTATACCAACATCCAAGAAAAACCAAGACCAGGATACTTCATAGTCGTGCTACCAAGTATAATCTATTTGGAGAAATAATAGACAACGAAGTAAATCTTCTTTAAAATTAAAGAAGTGGAAAATCATGTACTAAAATTTACAGAATTTATTGCAAGTATTGCCTCTTGGAAATCAACAGTACCATTGGTTAGTACCCAAAAAGAAGCTCCAGTCTTCTACGTATAAAAGAGGGAACTAAAGAAAAACGCCACCTAAAAATATTTTGTCAAAACATAAGACACTCTGAAAATAAAACCAACTAAAATCGGATAAAAATGTCTAAAATAATACCTAACGAACACTACAAACGAGAATTTCCAAAATTATATCGAAAACCTATCAAAAATATTAACAGAGGACACAAACCATGGCTTATGGAGAGTAACCAATAATTTATAGCCCTTCGTGACTTAAAAACACCGACATATTAACAAATACAGCATATTACATCAAAGTGTATACCTACAGGACAATATAAAAACCAAACTAGACCCTAACAAATACCCAGGACATGACTTAATCACTGAAAAAATCATGAAAGAATTTCTGCGAAAAAGGTCTACTACTTATTTTAACTTACTTTATACATAAATGAAATCATGAGATTAAAATATTTTCCAGCTCAATCCTGATATATAAATTCCGAAAACCTTAATATGAGACAACTTTTTACCGACCAATACCTCTACTTCGTGCCATGCTTAACATTAAAGAAAAATAACTAGCTAAGAGGCTAATAAAAAATAAAATTGCAGAAAAAGATTATACCTACCAACATACCAAATTGATTTCAGAACCGAAAATTCAACAATTGAACATATCTGTCAAATCAATAACTTGTCCCATAATTATTTCGAAAACATGAAACATTTTCCAAAAGTATTATCGATGTGTGTTAAATATTTGACAAAGTGTGGCAACAGAATCAATTAAAAAAATTTACATCAGAACATGTAGATATGGTAACACACCGAAAGATGCTTCCAGGTAAAAATATGAAGATGAAAGAACCTGTTTATATCTTGTAAAATCAGGCGTCCCTCAAGGCAGCGTTGATCGTCAGATCCTGTATCTACTATTTACTTCCGATATACCTACTGAGAATAGAGCACATATTATAGTCAGTTTCACAGATGATTCCGAAATAAGAGCCGTATATTCAGATCTCCTTGTTACAGCAGAATACCTCCAAGAAAACATAAATAAAATCCAGAAAAATGGAAGATAAAACTCAGTAGATAACTTAACTTAAAAATCTCGCAATGTTATAGCCACATTACCTTAGCCAAATTTATGAAAAAAGGAAAACATCTCGAAACCGCATAAAGAAAATAGTCATGGTTACGCGGAAGAAAGTCCCAGTTATCAAGACGAAACAAACTACTGGTATAAGACGCCATACTTCAACCGGTTTGGAAAATAAAACTTAGCAATCATGGAACGTTTAGTTCCAATCATGGAACCTCATAGACATCAATATACATACAATACCATAGAATAAATAACAATCAGAATGTCCACTCTCAGATGCCGCCTTTGAAGTTTGTCAACACGCAATCGCCATATTTTAAACGGAAACATGGACTCGAATTGAGAAATTTGTGACAAGCTACGACAGAACTGTAATTTAAATTTTTAGAGATTAATAATTTTTTTAAATCTATTCTTCAATTAAAAGTACGAATAAAATAGTGCATATTATGTCTATAGTTGCCGTAAATAAATTAAACCGGGTTAATTTTTTATGCACCCCAGATAAAATCTCACTGAACAGCACTGGTTCTGTTTAAAACATGGTTGATTCCGTCTGCGCGAACGAGATGCGCGTACTTATTTTTTCAAGCAGAGTGGGCATTCTGAATATTTATTATTCTATGACAATCCCTACAACTGCTAACTGTTCAGTGAAAGTGTCACCCAGTGAGACATATTTAAAACTACAGGTGAACCATCTAAAATAGAGTAAATATTGAAATATTTGTCTTTGCACCAATACATAAGCCAAAAAATGTATTTTTGATTTTTGTAAAGACTAACTGCATAATAAAGGAAACAATTAGGTATACAAATTTATATAATTGATGGATTCGACCGTTACTTGATGGAAATTCATTTATGTTACAATAAAACACTGAAAACTTTGTTTTCAAACCTTCCACGAAATTTATTTTAAACTCTTATCACTACAGCTGTTTCGGTTGATTGTGTTTTATTGTTACATATAAATTTATATTGGAAAAGGAAATATTCTGTAATAAATTGAAAAGTAAAAAATATGAAATTAAATATGGTTCTTGAAATAGACTATGTATATAATAGACATATAAGTACCTATACAATAAAAACACCTAAACTAAGAGCTAAAGTGTCCATTCAAGTGTTCATCAAAACAGCTAGTTTGAAAGTGTTAATTCCATTAACATTTTTTATTTCTAATAAATATAAGGTATACAGGTTGTTACAAAAAGGTATGTCATAAATTAAATCCCGTATTCCGGGGACAAAAATAAATTGATTGAATCCAACTTACCTTAGTACAAAAGTGTACACAAAAAAAGTTACAGCCCTTGGAAGTTACAAAATAAAAATTGTTTTTTTTGCATTATCTCCTAAACTACTAGACATTTTGTAATAAAAATGGACATGTTGCTTTTTTGTTCTAAAAGCATTTTTTATACAAAAGAAACAACAAAATCTAAGCGCACAGAAAAATTTTAAGAGGGGTGTGCAGCCCTAAATCCCTCCCAACTTTTGAGTACTTAATCAAATGAATTTTTTGTCATCATTAGTTTAATATATTATTTTTAAAACTTTTTTGCCTCTTATCACTTTTTCGAAACACAAGGTTTTTCCTAGTTGGCCATAAAATTACAATTATTTTCTACGGATACAATAATTACAAACAGTTCCATCTAGTCAATAATTTGAAGCTACCATTTATTGTGTGAATAAGATTAATATTAAAAATTTTGATAGTACAATGGGCTACACATTTCAGGAAATGGCAGATATGCATTTAGCTTTGGGTAAGTTGGATCAGATTAAATTATGATTTCAATAAACTATCGGGAATATCGTAGGTGAATGTCAAGGAAATAGTGCAGCAGCCGCAAGGCGTTATGCAGTAAAATACACCCGATAGACGATTATTTTTGACCATTGATCGTCATTTACGGGAAACGGGTACATTCCAATCGCAAGTTGCTGGTAATAGTGATCGTCCAATAATGGATGCAACTGATGAAGACATTTTAGAAATGATTGAAGAAGTACCTGAAACAAGTACAAGGGTAATAGTTGTTCAACTAAATATTCCTCAAGTAAGGGTTTGGAGACGTTTGAAGGATCAGCTGCTTAAACCTTATCACTTAACAACGGTTCAAGAGTTATTGATTGAAGATTATCCTAAAACGATTGGATTTTGCGATTGGTTGTTAATGGAAAACACTCGAAATGTTAATTTTATTAGAAATATTTTGTTTATTGACGAGGCTGCCTTCAGTAGAAATAAAATAACAAACCATCATAACGAGCACATTTGAGGCGACGAAAATCCTCACGCCAAAAAACGATTCATCACAAAAGGATTTTCAAAGTTAATGTTTAGGCAGGGATTATGGATAACAATCTAATAGGCCCAGTATTTCTCCCCAATAATTTAAATGGTGATAATTACATGTAGTTTTTGGCAAACGATTTACAAGAGTATTTGGAAGAAGTGAATATTGCAATAAGGTAAAATATGTGGTTTCTACAAGATGACGCTCCGCCGGATTACAGGAATACCTTTGCAGGCAGTATGCTGGTCGGTGGGTTGAAAGGGCTCGTGACGCACCTATTTCTTGGCCCACCAGAAGTCCAGGTCTTAACCCCATGGACTTTTGTATTTGGGGGTTTATGAAAGAGAAAGTGTATTCTGTAAAAATAGAGGACGAACAACAATTGAGGGGTAGAATAATTGAAGCTACAAATTAATTTCGTCAGAAAAATATGATTTTTCAGCGTTTTCCTTATTAACACGATACCGAATGTGTATTGAAGAAAATGGGGTCATTTTGAACATTTATTGTAATATCATATTTATAGAGGTTATAGACATTTTTTGTATTTGTTAATTCATTTAAGCCATTTATTTAGTTGCACGTAATTATTTAAAGGTTAATGAAAAGGGCCGTAATAAAAACTGTTTTTTGAAAAAAGTGATAGGAGGCAAATTTTTTTTAAAAATAATGTGTTAAAACTAATGATGCCACAAAATTCATTTGATTTAAACGTACTCAAAAGTTTGGGGGGATTTAGGGCTGCATACCCCCCTTAAATTTTTTCTGCGCTCTTAAATTTTTTTTTTTTTTTTTTTATAAAAAATGTTTTCAGAACAAGAAAGTAACGTGTCCATTTTTATTCCAAAATGTCAAGTAGTTTAGTAGATAATGCAAAAAAACAATTTTTATTTTGTAACTTCAAAGGGCTGTTTTGTAACTTTTTTGTGTACACTTTTGTACAAAGGTAAGTTGGATTCAATCAATTTATTTTTGTCCCCGGAATTCGTGATTTAATTTATGACATACCTTTTTGAAACACCCTGTATAATTATATCACGTATGTCGTTTAATACCCGATAATAAGATCAAAAATTGTTTTCAACTTATGACATCCAAGAGACGCCTACTTTTCTATATTAAACTTATTGGTTTTGACTTGTCGTGTTGTGTGTAGATATTTTAAGTAAGTATAAATTAAAAATCTTTTATGATGAGATTAAATTAAATGTTCGAAAACTCATTTAAAATTCAATTAAGACCTTTGGATTATAGGAAAAATTTTTATGGTACTTGTTATATCTACAAAAAATTCTAAAAATGAATAAAAAAACATGACCTATCAAGTTAAAACACAGTCTTATTATTTATTATATTGAAAAAAAAAAACTATCGGTTAATTACAGACAGATTTGGATTATTATGCGTCAAATTTTGTAATTCCTCGTGCTTTACGACAATCTTTTGCCCCGTTATCCTAGACCTAATGTCAAAATTATTGTCTAAATCTTCATTCTGCTTGTTACTCATATGTTGCCTTTGATGCCTGATATGTCTCTGTTGAGACTGTGGCCTCACCAGATCAGGCAATGATGCTAAGCGCTCCATTCTTTCTTTTTCTGCCATTAACTGGCTTTGTTCGTACATTTTTTTAAGATTGCAGGCGTTTATTCGAGATTTTGCTGAAAAAGTGTAATTTTCTGGGAACTCCAAAGTGCAAATATCTAATGTTGGTAACATATGTATGTCACTATGTAAGGCTGATGTTGAATTGCGTCCAAGTAAGCTATGAATTCTGTCCAGTTCGTTTGTTTGCCGGGCTGCGTCAACGATGAGGGTAGGTATGGGTTTTGGTGTGGCTGAAAATAATAATCACGAGTTGGTTAGGCTACTTTATACCCAAAATATTACTATAAGTAAACACAAATAAGAGATACAAAATTGTGATACATACATTAAAAACAGATGATTTACACATTATTATTGATAACACATTAATGAATTATTATTATTTTTATTCTTTTTTAATTTTTTAATATACACAAATGCAAATACTATATAAATCGTGAAAACCGAATAACTTGGGAATTAATAAAAAAAAAACTTTACTATAAGGTCAAAAACTTCCAAAGTAATGGGTATATTAAAAAAAATATTAAAAATTAAAATCCAAGAGGATTAAAATTGTTTTAAACATTTTCGGTTCTATCAGACCCTCGTTAGTGAAAACTGAAGTGCTAGCCTATCCATCTAGCCTAACCATCACAAGACAGTAAAATTGTTAAAATTAAATTTTAAAGGTTAAAAAATTTAAAAATAATTCGACATATTGTCGATATTGTTGATGTTAATTAATTTAACTAAAAGAGAACATATTAGTCCTTACTCGAAACATACACACTTGTATGTGTATATACTGTCAGACCCATAAGTTCCATTTTAGTTAACTCGTTTGTTCCCAGTGCAGTGGTGCGTTTACGAACCATTTATTTTGCAATATTTTTGCAGCCTTATTGCATTTACCGTGTTTTTCAATATAAAGCCTAAATGAAAATGATAAAAATTAGGTCATAATTTCATGATTATTTCAAGACGAAATACAAAGAAATGAGAATATTATACTTTACTACTTTAATAGCACATTGTTTATAGGTACATCACCATGAGCCATTTTGTGTCCACTGCTAAACATAGACCTCCCGTAAATAACTCAATGGCAACCGATCTTGAGTACCCTGAATCCAGTTGTGCTGGATGCGCGGTATGTCATCTAACCACCTTGTTGGAGGACGTCCTCGATTACAATAAGCATCGTGTCTAGGTCTCCATTCTAAAATTTTATTGGTCCATCTTTCATCTCTAACTCTGGCAATATGTCCTGCCCAGTTCCATTTCATTATTTTAACTCCGTCGGTAAGATCAGCTTTTTTCCTAACTATCTGATTTACAACTCTGTCTCTGAGAGAAATATTTACCAATAACCTCTCCATTACTCTCTGTACCTCTTATATCTTATTGCTTACTTTTCTGGTAAAGGTCAATATTTCTGCTCCATACGTCAGAGCTAGAAGTATACATTGGTCAGAGGCCTTTCTTTTCAAGCACATGGGAATATTTGATCTGAAGACTTCACTCAGTTTTCCGTAAACTGCTCATGTTAGTCCTATTCTCCTGTTTAACTCTATTGTTTGATTGTCTCTTAATATATGGATATGTTTCGTACAAGAATACCATAAATACAATAATAATTGATAACTGTTTAGATATTTTTCTAAATTAAATTCTACACTCTTTAGACAAATCGAAAATCTCGGATTCGTTCAGTAAAATATTCCCAATGTGAGATTTTCTGGCATAATCACTTTCATGAGATACTTCCTGCTTAAAAAGTACTAGATAATATAGTTTTTCGAGATGTAACGAGTGATATCAATTGTGGTTACACTATTTTGCAAAATGTAACAGCAGACAACAACGTGCAGTAAAGGACTGAAATTGTGTGATAGAGACTACGATGTTACCAGACAATCAAACATTTTTTTCTTCATCTCCAAAACTTCAAGTATTATCAAATGTATTATTACCGAATAATATTGAAACAAGTTGTTTAACTTCGTCTAAAGTACAGATTTCTAAAATCCAGTGGTAGCTGAAGTAAATAGTTTAAGAAGATGGAAAGCAAGTAATCCCAGTGAATGGAGAAGAAATGTCGTTAAAAGACGTCAAAAATGTTTTACGTGACCGCAAAAACCCTAAACCAGTTAATTGTGACAAATGTATATATAAATGTACTGAGCATTTTTAAATGGAACTACGACAGGTACTTTGCGCTACTAATCGGAAAATGGATTTTAAACGAAAAAAAAAAAATTTAATTTTGTCAAACATAGATTTTTACTCCAAAAAGACGCGTATTAATCAAGAAAACATAACACATAGAAAGATCTAATGCAAAATATTATTTCCTTGAAAATGGAAAAGAAAAAAATTCGAGTAAGCAGAAATTTTTTCTGCAAAACCTTAAGTATATTAAAGGAGGTAGTTACGCATGCTGTGATTAATAAAGATTGTATATGAACATTCTTACGTGCTAAAAACGTGGAATACATACGCCTATTAATAAAACCAATCCGGAATCAATTTAGCAATCCCATATCGAGTTATTTCCATCGTTGGAGTCACATTATCGAAGAAAGAGCACGAAACGTCAGTATTTGACAGAAACGACAGAAATCTAAATCGCAAACATATATAGCTTGTATCTAACCCTGTGCACGGAAAAAAGTGGGTGCCGGTTTCTAAAATATCATACAGAAGAATATTTTGCAGAGAGAACAATCTGCCTTTTTTTAAGCCAAAACAAGAACAGTGGTCAAATCTGTTCTGTATATGAGAATGTAAAAGTAGGTGACAAAGAATAATATAAACAAAATATATCGATCACATAGGCAGGCAGAAGGCATGCCAAAATGCAAAATGCAAAATCAAAGGATAAAGATAGAGCAAACAATGAAAATAATTTTCTTTCACTGATTTTCGATCTGCAATCAGTACTACAAATTCCATGTGGAGGTGTTAGCCAGTTATACTACACTCTCAAAATATTTGTGTATAATTTATGTTTTTACGAACCAAAATACCGAACAATGCGTACTGTTACGTGTGGACATAGATGAATGGATAGAAAAGAAATTCGCAAATAGGAAGCTGTATGTTCTACTAATAAAGAACAACATTAATAGTAATATGTCCCATATCACACCGTTCTCGGATACTTGCGGTAGGCAGAACCGCAATCAATGTAGCTGCTTTATTGATGTATGCAGTGGAAGTGTTGGGTAATGTTGAAATTATTGAGCAAAAGTTCGTGGAAACGAGACACACCCACATGTAGATAGATTGGATGCATTCTGCAATATAATGTGTAAAGAAAAATATTCCTGTGTTCGCCTTACATGACTGGATGAACATTTTTCACCATGCTAAAGGCATAAAACGGCATAAAAAGGCATAAAACCCCGCAAAAGGCATAAATGTGTCAAAACAGGAAAATATCGTAAAAAATTAAGTATAAAGATTTCTGTGATTCTGGGGAACTTGCAGAAAAACTTATTATTAACGGAAATATTGACCAAAAATAAAAATCAATGAAATGGCTCAAAATCAAACGCTTAAATTTGTAAAAGGCCACGTTGGTCGGATTTATTGCAATTATGACCTTTCGGATAATTTTGATTGCAATAATGTTTTTGAACAACCAATAAAAGAGAATAATCCAAAAAATTATGCTCTGCAAGTAAACTCCAAATAACCAAAAAATTCACTAACAAAACAAATATTAAGGCATCACAAACATTCCCAAAGGTTTTAAAAAGACAATCAATTCCTATAAGTGTGGCGAAGAATAAAGATCTTCAGAAATTATGCAAAAACCTTGCCATACCAGATGGTATAACAAAAAAAATACCACCACCAGATGTGCAAGACAGTTCTAGTCAAGTCAAGTCAATTATTTCGTTCGAGAACTTATCTCATTTTTTATTTTGCTACTATAAAATCCCAACAACTTACAATTTGCTCAAACCATAAATTTTTTGATTAAGTTAAGTTAAGATTATTTTTTTAATCAAAACGTATTAGTGTATTGATTTTAAGTATTATTATGCGATTCTTAGTTACGTTTTATAAAAATAAGAAATAACAAGAAATTTTTTTTTTTATATTATATGTCGATATCCTTATCTAAAACCTTTAAATGCGATTATCTCAAAATAACTAATTTGACACTTGTCAGATTTTGGCAGTAAGTCAACGATATACTCGTATCAATGTTCTATTAACAATATTTTTACTAACTTAATAAAATATTTCATCTATTTAAAAGTACTCTGTCAAGCTTTAAAACTAACACTCATCAAAACCCAAGCTGTTAGTATTGTTTAATAAATAGATACTATTTAACACAGTTTTTAAGTTAATCCTTTAATTAATAAATTATGCTGAAATGCCCTCTTTCTAATCGAATATTTATAGATTGACTAATGTATTAATTGAATAAAAATTTAATAATTTAAAAAATAGATATAAAAAATGAAGACGAAAAGCAATAAAAAAGTGATAGAAGAGAGAATACGAAAAACAACTGGAACATTTTTGGATGCCGAGAAATCATATTGCTATAATGTATACCCGTGTTTATACACGCTCATCCCGTAGAGATCCACGGAGTACACCGTGGATCCGGTACACAAGCATATTGTAATTAAAGTACGAGATCCATTTAGAATTTGGACCTACTACGTTAGACGTTTTGTTTTCTTATCAGGGTCTAAACCATCGATCTCTTGATCATAAACAAAGTTTAACCTGTTAAATCATAAGTCTATGAAGACATTTCTTTTTGTAGCTGGATGAATTTCAAGAGTCTATAAACAGCCGGCTTGGTTTTTCTGTTATTTCCCATATAACTGTACAAAATCTTTTTCCTAAAATCCTGCTGAATTTATTTAAGTATTTTATCGGAATTTTGTATGATTTTCTAAATTCGTCATGTGGTTAGTAAATATATTTTAATCAATTTATCTCTTAGTTGATCTGTATATCTTTTACTTTCTGCTATTCTTTTTACGCACTCTTTCTAGGAACGGTTCTCGTCCACAAACAGCCCTCGCTGTTATATCGTAAACTTATAACAAGATCGTTATGCCATCAATAATTGTAAATGCAGCGATCCTTTGATTTTATTAAACCAACAGAAATATGTTCCAATACCGGGTTTTCTGATTATTTATAGAGAGGGTCGATTTATACTTAATTTAATTACTCTTAAGATTTGGCAGGGCTTATTTAATAAAGACTT